TCCCCCTAAACTTTGTTACTATGTTATGTTGTAGATGGTAGTAGCAGATCCCTCGTTTTGCCCATGGGAAAATAGTTTCACAAGCTTTCTTAATAGAAATATGTCTGTCAGAAACTATCACCAAAGGATAACCATCTGGGACACATTCACGCAGTTTAGAAAAAAACCATTCCATGAAGCATCATCTTCACCATCAACAATTCCAAATGCCAAAGGAAAAATCTGAAAATTTTCATCTTGTGCGGTGGCAACCAACAAAGTACCCTCGTATTTCCCTGTTAGATGACATCCATCAACCACAATTACTCTTCTCATGTACTGAAAACCAGCAATCGATGCTCCAAATGCGAGAAATAGATATTTGAATTTGTTATTCGAATCTACATGAAGAGCTGATACAGTTCCCGGATTGGCTTTGTTCACTGAATGTAGGTAAGTTGGGAGACTCGCATATCCATCTTCAGCTGTTCCCCTGACCAATTGTTGGGCATATATCAAAGATCTGTAAGAGGTAGTGTAATCCTTCTTGATGTCAAACATATGCTTCATTGAAACCCTGACATGTTCTAGTGTAAGTCCATCAATGATGCCGAAATGGCTTATAAACAGCTTGCCAATATACTTAGGAGTAGACTTCCCATGGTGAGCCATTCGATGGGCTATTGAACATGTGTGGTCTTTCACATATTTTGTCACCCAAAAAGTGGATGCATCATTCTTCACGCTCGCTCTAACCATCCATGCACATCCTTCCACTCGACATTTAGCCACAAACAGGGTCTTGGTTGACTTCTGTGTTTTGAAAGCAAATTTTAACATTATGGCAGTCAGTCTAACCTCTGATAACAGCTTCTCTTTTGTAGGGAAACTTGCCCTAACATATATATTATCAGACCATGACATGGGCGTGCTCCCTGTTTCACCATATCGGTTTCTGACCTTTTCAATACAGACTTCATCTTCATCATCATCTTCATCTTTCACTTTACCGTAGACACTGTAATCTTCTCCGTCAGAGTAAGCTGCATCGTCGACATCTTCTCCATCCTCGTTCACATCAGAACTGTCTGCCTCATCATTGGTAGAATGTTCTGAATTTTCCTCAGAGTCCTCACCTAAATCTTCATCTGATCCTTCCTGGTTCTCCTCAGTATCCATCTCCACTCGACAGGACACACAAAGGCGTAACATATGTACTCTGCTTAACGAAATCAAGCTTGAAACTTGTCTATCATTGGTGACATGCATTGGAGGTGTATCTGGAGCCATAGATTGCAACATTGAGACTGGTAGTGCGTAGGTTAACTCGATGATCTCAGTCTTCTTGCCCAAGTTATAATCATCTCGTGCCATTTCAGTAAGCTGCCCAAAGGTGCAACCATCGTTCAAAAACCATATTCTTCCACCTTTGCCCATGTCAACAACGAAATGCCATGAATTCTCCTTAATCTTCCACTCACCGTACACAACTGGAATTTGAGCCATTCTCTGAAAAAATAACCATATAAACCGTATTAGCAAGCACTGCAGAGAGACTTTTTGTATCAAAGTAGACTTCACGCTGATGTCTACTTTGATAAGCTAAGTACCTTAAAAATCTAAACTTCTGATTCAACAATAAATATCCAATGAAACGGAATAAAAATCACTAGGTAGTTCAATCACTAACTAAGAAACAAATATAAACCAAAAAAATTGAAAAATATTTTATAAATTTCCTTAAAACGCGTTTTTACAAAAACGTCAAAACGTAGACTTCTAATGCAGACGTCGAATGTAGACTTCACGACGAAGTCTACTTTTATAAGTTAAGTACCTTAAAAATCGAAATCTCTGATTCAAAAATAAATATCCAATGAAATTAGATAAAATTCACTGGGTAGTTCAATCACTTACTAAGAAGCAATTCTGAACCAAAAAATTTGAAAAATAGTTTATACATTTGCTTAAAACGTGTTTTTAATAAAACATAATAAAGTAGACTTCTAAATTAGACTTCAAATGTAGACTGGAGGAGAAGTCTACTTTTTCATTGAGAAGTCTACTAATGAAGTCTACTAAAAAAAAGATCATTTTTGCAATTGACCAATCTGTTGACTTTTCCTTCAGTAGACATCAGGAGTAGACTTGAGGCAAAAAAGGTTACTTTAGCATTTGACAAATGCATTGACTAACATAGTAGACTTCTATTGTAGACTTCATGTAAGAGTAGACTTCTCTGACAGTCTACTTTTGAAGTCTACTTTTTAAATAGAAGTCTACGGATCAAAATAGGTTATTTTTTCAATTGAATTTTTTTAGTAGACTTCACAATGAAGTCTACTCAAAAAAAGATTCCTTCTAAGTTTGACCGAACACAATAAGTAGACTTCACAAAGAAGTCTACCAATTTTGAAAGACAGAAGTCAAACACAAAAATGACCTATACGTTTTTGGTCAAACTACAAAAGTAACTTGAAAGTAGACTTCGTATGCAGACGTAAACAGTAGACTTCAGACGGAAGTCAAAATACGGTCAACTACAAAAATAACCTCTTTTTTTGGTAGACTTCTTAAGCCTTCAAATGAAGTCTACTATGCTTTTTTTTGTTTTCAAAGGATATCGAGTAGACTTCTAGTGAGGTTTAATGAAGTCTACTTTTTAAAAATCAATTGAAAAAATAACCTTATGTTGACTCATAGACTTCAGTATAGTTCACGAGAAGTCTACTTTCGCGATATAAAAACTGAAATGTGGAGAAATTGAAGTGCGAGGATTACCTTTAACAAAATTGAACTCCCCTAAGTTTCTCTTATCCACCCAGAACTTAGGATTTCACCGAAATTAAACAACCCAGGTGTCGAGTAACCAAAATTCACCGAAAAAGCATGGCGCGAAGCATTGTAACTGTGCCCAGATGTTTTGGAGAAGAATTATGGTAGAATGAGCAAGGTTATGAGTGAATGAGCTCAGATATTTGTTTTATTACAGCTTTAAAATTAGTTGATAAGCATTTACTCCATTTTCATGGTTGTTCATGGTGGTTGAAGGTATTGAAGACGATGGCATTCTCGTAATTAAAAAGTCTTTAGAAGGTCCAAGAAGACTTTAGCCAATTAAAGAAAAATCGAATTATTAGATGTATAATGGCATTTTCGTTAATAGTTTAAGTGGGAAGGATAAAATTGTGAGAAAATGACAAAACTTGGAGAGAGAAAAAAAAAGAGGTTAGTTTGGTGTTTGACTTTGAAATATGGGTTAAATCTGAAACTCTCCCTAATTTGTAAGATGAAAAAAAGCACTTTTGCAGTACCGTATAATTTACAATATACCAACGTTACCCCTACATCTCTATAATTTCTTGATAATCATGCACGATATTATGTTAGAGATATTAATTTAATATTTTATAAAATTTCGAACACTTTCGCTGATTCTTCTTATTCTTCTTTTTCTGGCGACTACTATTTATCTTCTTCTTCCTCCACTTTCCCTTTTATAACTCCGTTTCCTAATCCTGACCCGAATTCATACCTGGACCCTCCTGTTCTTGTATCTTCCCCACCCGCTCCACACGATTCATCATCACCAAACCCGTCTGTTCCAATTCTCTCAAATCCGCCGGCGCCGATCGTAAACCCGAACCACCTCTGCCTCCGCCTCCTTCTACGCCCAATTCGAATCCTCAGCTGCAATTTTCACCTCCTCTGCTGGATTCAGATACAACCACCGCACCGCTTCCGTCTACACCAGAAACAACAATAGCACCGCCGCCTCCAGCGACAATATCGGCATCTCCGCCATTAAATCCGTCGAGCTAACATATATATAAAGTGTGTATCTATTTGAATTACTCCTATAATTTTATTGCTAGATTACTAACAATACATATAGAATGTTATATGTTTTTGTAGCACACTAACTACAAAAATAACACCTATAATAATCTAGATAATTCATTATTGTTATCAATCTAACATATTTTTTACCTTGTTAATTATAATATTAGACGTTAATTTTATATGTATTATGCTAAATATACCAATAACATCTTTGATCATCTATATAACTCATTATTGTTATCAATCTTACATATTTTGTACTTAGTTAATTATAATGTTAGACGTTAATTTATATGTATAATTGATGTAAGCTAAGTGTTAGCAAGATAACAAAGTATGTAGTATAATAACAAGTTATGTAGTTGTATAATGTATATGCTAACGTAAAAAAGATGATGAGGGAGAAACTTCATATAGGGAAGGAAGACTCGTAACAAAAGAAGAATGGGTAAAGAATAATAACACCTTCAAAGTGTGAGAGCAATATCCTACCAATTTAATGTTTTCCCATTTAGCAAATTTTGATCAAATTTTAGATTTTCTAACAAATTCACTCTTAATCTTAAAACAATATTCTAATTGCACGATGCTTTAGTTTTCCATGTGCCAAGCACATGTTTTATTAACCTTATCTTCTTCTTTTCTTTCTTTCAGATCTCGTGAAAACCATTTCAATTTCTGAACTACTAGGACAAGCTTACTCCAACACTCCCTCTAAGCTTGTACTCTGCGATTTTCAGATTCCTCTCAACCTTTCCCATTGTGCTGCTCCGAGAGTTTTCGTAAATGTACAGCCTCTTTCTCATGACTAATTGTAATGATTTCAGAGTTTTGATTTCTGGAACTGCTGGATTTCCTCTGGATCGGGAAATTGTCTTCTTCAAGACTACTAAAAGCTTCTTTCTTAACTTCATTGTTTCTTGCAGAACATTCTTATCTGCAGTTTTACACACCTTCATTCAAAAAGATACCGATCTAGATGAATCTCTAGTTTCTTCTCAGTATTTGTCTTATATATATCCTTGCATCATGATTCCATGGACGTTTCAAACTTTCAATACAGTTTGGTTTAAAAGTCCTCAACAACTACAAACAAAACCAGAAAGTTGAAGAGTAACCTCTTAAAGCCTCAAGAAAGCAGTACATGCTCAATTTTTATTATCTAACACAAACTGAAAATGTCTACACAAACAATTGCAGCAATCTACTCTCAAGCAAAACAGAGATTACTAAGTATCGCATCTCCATAATCATTTCTCAGAATCAGTATGCATCTCCCTATAACTAGCAGCTCTATTCTTGACGACATTGAGAAGACAATCACAAGCCTGTCTTGAAGATGGTCTCTCCTGAGGATACGTTCTTGTGCACTGAAGTGCTATTTCAAGAACCTGATAAGCTGCTTCTTCTTGGCGAGGTAAAAGCGGCTTAAGCTCTGAATCAATCAGCTTCTCTCTAGCAGCAGGCAATTCAAGAACCGTCTCTACCCATCTAACCATATCCGTCTCTTCACCAAACACTTCCTGATCTGTTGGCTTTTTACCAGTCACAATCTCCATCAACACTATCCCCATACTGTAAACATCGCTCTTCTCAGTCGCCTTCAACGAGTAAGCATACTCTGTGGATTGTAAACACATTAGCTTTAACAGAGGAAAACAAAAGTTCAGGAAACTCGAAGAAAGAAATGGTACCTGGAGCGATGTAGCCATAAGAGCCTGCAAACAAAGAGTTTGATTCTGTGTTGGTGTCATAACTCTCAGTTAGTATTTTGGCGAGTCCGAAATCTCCTAAATGTGCTTCCATGTTAGAATCAAGAAGCACATTACTGGACTTAATATCACGGTGAACCATCGGAGGAACACAATCAAAATGAAGATACTCTACTCCTTGAGCCAAACCAACTGCAATTTTCAATCTTGTTTCCAAATCAAGAACCTCCTTCTTCTTCTTCTTCTTCTTTGTTTGAAGCCAATCCCAAACGCTTCCGTTCTCCATGTACTCGTAAATCAACAGGTTCAAGCCTTCTGCTTTGCTACTACAGTAACCCATCAGCTTAACCAAGTGCCTGTGTCTGATTGTTCCAAGTGTCTTAACTTCTCTGTTAAAGCTCTTGTTTGACATCAAATCATCTTTCCAAAGAATCTTCTTCACAGCAATGGTCTCACCATTCTCCAAATCCGCTTTGTAAACTTTCCCTGACCCTCCTGATCCAATCATGAACTCGTCGTTAAGGTAATGTGTAGCTTCCATAATGTCTTCCCACTTTATATCCGACTTTGCAGCTCCATTCCTAAACAGAGGAGCTTGTGAAGAAGAAGAAGAAGAGTTTGATGAGAACTTGCTGTTTCCTCCTCGGCCTTTCTTGAAAAGATCATGACTTTGCTTGAAGAAGAGGACGATCACAAGTACCATCAAAGCAATCGCTGCTAATGAACAAATTGCAGAGATTATAACCACGGTTTTGGCGCTACGACCTTGTTGCTTCTTGTTCAAGCCAGCTCTGTTGCAGTGACTAAGAGGGCTTCCACAAAGACCTGCATTGCCTGCAAACGCATCTGCTTGCCATTTAATGAATTGTTTCTTTAACTTTCCTTCAAGATTGTTGTAAGAGACGTTGAGATATCCTAAACTCTTCATATCTCCGATTTGGCCAGGAACTTCTCCGACAAGTTGATTGTGAGACAGATCAAGGGCTTCAAGCTTATGTAACGTCGAGATCGTCGATGGAATGTCTCCGGTGAAGTTATTGTAGCTGAGATCTAAAGCACTTTGAAGATCTTGTAGCTGTCCAATCTCAACCGGGATTTCTCCGGTTAACATGTTTCTCGATAACCGAAGCTCATAAAGCTTGCTCAGCTTGCCTATCTCTGAAGGAAGAGGACCTGAAATCTGATTCTTTCCAAGGTTAAGTACATTGAGAGCTTCCAAGTTTCCAATCTCTTGTGGAATCGAGCCGTTGAGTTTGTTTCCATCAAGAGATAACACGAGAAGCTTGGTTAGGTTGCAAATCTCTTTAGTGAGTGACCCTGTAAACTGATTAGAAGAAAGCTTGAGCTCACCTAACAATCGAAGCTTGCCGAGCCATGAAGGTATAAGCCCTGAAAGGAAGTTATCGTTGAGATCAATGTGTGTCAGCTTCTTGCACAAACCGAGCTCTACCGGTAAGATTCCAGTGAGAGAATTGCTTGAGATATCCAACAAAGAAAGCTCTTGGATCTTCCCAAAAGTCCAAGGGATTCTTCCTGTGAATTGATTCTTCCCTAACCTTAACCGATCAAGATTCAGAGACTTCCCTAGCTGAAGAGGTATGTCTCCTTCAAATCCATTGTCCGTGACATCAAAGGAGAGGTAAGAGCTTGAGCCACACAACGGACTAATCGAGCCATTGAGCTTGTTGCTTGAAAAGTTGATTCTTGTGAGGTTCTTGAGGTTGATAAGCGACTTGGGAAGGTTCCCATGGAGAGAGTTGTTGTAAAGCATGAGCTCTTTTAGCGATTTCAAGAACCCGAACGAGGAAGGAATCGAACCCGAGAGCTGATTATCCGCTAAATCCAAAACAGTTAGTTTGTGACAGTTACCTAAAGTGGCGGGAATGTTGCCCACAAGCTCGTTCTCTCTCAAGTGAAGCCAAGTAAGCTCTTTTAATCTTCCGATTGAAGAAGGAACCTCTCCACTGAAATGATTCCCAAACATATCAATCGACTTCAGATTCGTGCAGTTCCCAATCTCAAACGGTATCTCACCGGAGAAACGATTTTTGTATAGATACAGAACTTCCAATTTGCTGAGCAATCCGATTTCTTTAGGTAACTTGCCTTCCAAGTCATTGTGAGACAGAGCAAGCTCTTGTAGATTCGTGAGGTTTGATATCGATGGAGATAACGTGCCCTTCAAGCTACAGTTGTGAAAATACAGATTCGTGAGTTCTACGAGGTGAAACAACGAATCCGGGATTTGACCGGTGACAAGCGTATTGTTGGACAAATCAAGCGCTGTTAATGACTGGCATTTGCTGATTTCCGCCGGAATTTCGCCGGAAAGCTGAGTTTCAGACAAAACCAGTTGCTTCAAGCTTGTGCTGTTAGAACATAAGCTCTTTGGTAATGAACCAGAGAGAGGATTGTTCGCTAGAACCAAATACACAAGCTGACTCATGTTCCAGAACTCTTCATGTATTTCTCCGGTGAGATCATTCTTCGATAAATCAAGGGTTTGAAGATTCACCAATTCGGTTAATCTCTTCGGAATCGGACCTTGAAGCTTGTTACCAACCAAATTAAGGTATTGGAGATTGCGCAGATCACCGAGTTGACTCGGTATCTCACCGGAGAAGCTGTTGTTTCCCAGATTGAGTATCTGAATGTTCACGAGTTGACTCAGCTCCGCCGGTAACGATCCGTTGAGGCGATTCAACGCCGCGGTGAACAAAACGAGGTCGGTGCAGTTACCTAACTCAGGCGGGATCGGTCCTTCGAGGTAGTTATCTTGCAGAATCAAAGCCTGGATACGAACGAGTCGACCGAGTTGACTCGGTATCGAACCGGTGAGTCTACACGAAGCTAAAGCAAGTGTCTGGAGATTGACGAGGCTACCAAACGTCTCCGGGATCGATCCGACGAGCTCGTTGTCTCCGAGTTTTAACGATTTGAGTTTCACGAGCGAGTCGAGTTGACTCGGAATCTCGCCACTGAGTTGGTTAGAGAAGAGATGCAAAGATTCCAAGGAAGAAGAGAGGTTGGAGAGAGTAGTTGGGATGGGACCGGTGAGTCGGTTTGATGACAGGTCGAGGTGGGTTAGGTTAGTAAACCGGCCAATCGAAGGAGAAATCGAACCGGTTAAGGCTAAATTGGATAGATTTAAACCGATGATTACACGACCACCGCACGTGACGCCGGTCCAGTTACAGAAATTGGGATCAGCATCGGAATTCCAATCTCGGAGAACGTTTTCATCTTTTGGGTTTGTGACGAGAGACTTCTTTACTTCGAGGAGAGTTTGAAGATCGTTGGTTTGACCCGAACCCGACCCGATTGAGAAACAGAGGAAAAACAGAACAAGAAAAAGAGGATTTGGCTGCATTTTTTTCTTTCTTGTTTGTTTTCTTCTTCTTCAGAAAACAAGAGATCTGTGAGAGTAGTGAATGGAGATTCTCGAGTTCTTGTTAGTAGTATTAAGACTACTAGTGTTGGAAACATAGAGAATTTAAGACAATTGTTTGGTTTTCGTTGTAGATGTTGAAGAAATGCTATTGGTAGTAAGAACGGTGCATGGGGATTCTCTCTCTCTATTTCTCTTTCTCTCTCTATATATATATAGATAGACGTATATATATGTATATGTGTTTTTGATGTGGTGAGATGGAGGAGAAGTAAATCTAGAGGATAAAGATTTTGGGATTGGCTATGAGGCTAAAACTATATATATAGCCTTTTAAATGACACATGCGAGTGTCTTCTCTCTGATTTTTTCACTGTTTTATTGAGAGAGAGACAGAGAAAGAGAGTAAAGAGAGATGCATAAGGCAATGTGAAAAGAGAAGAAGAAGGTCAAAGAGGGTCAGAGGAGAGACATTGGAAAATGCATTCCCAAGTGTCCAACATTTATGTTGCGGCTGTGTCGTCAATGCATGTGTGTATTGTATATACATGTTATTTTGGATTAATTTATTTGGAGTAGTAAAATATGAAGAATGGTGAAAATGGTTATTCGAATTTCAAATTTTCATTAAAAGGTAAAAAAAAACAATTTATTTTCATAGTCATCAACATTACAAACAAAAAGATTCGTTTAATGTTTTTGCTATTTCATTATTTTCTCTACATCGTTTTTTTGTTTGGCATGAATTCGCCTCTAGTTAGTAAATTTTAATTCCATAAAATACAACAAATTAAAAAGGTGGTAAAATCTATAGATGGTGTGTCACCTTTCAATTTATCTTTTTTAAACCCTAATCTCTCATTTTTATCTACAAAATCCAGTTTGATGAAAATTTTAGTTGTGTAAGTTATAATGATAATGGGAAAAGAGATTTATGACAATGAAATATAAAAAAAAATTTATGATGATGAACTGTAAACTAAAAAAATGAAGAAGAAGATATCACTTTGACCTTGGCCAAGGAAAGAGAGTGGTTGAGATGAGAGACGATGATTTGGTTGAAAGGTATTTCTTCAATTTCTGCTTTTGTTGTGAAGTGTGTTAGCTTCTCATTACTCAAGTCCTTTCATGAAAAAGAGAGCAGTTGTATTTCTATATTTAGATTACATACATATATATATATATATTTTATCTTGATAAATATAACTTGGAGGGTTATAGACATTACCTAAATTTTATAGAAAAAATAGGACCATAGTCTAGAAAATAGTATATAGAATCTTTAAGTCATAAACTCTAAATTCTAAACCAAATTAAGAATACAAATAAACCCTAAGCAGCCTAAGCCAAGTCTCAAACGTAAATGTTTAACGCTAAAAGCCTAAGAAAATGGTTCGTTTGTTAGAGTTTTTATCTCAATTATCTCTATAAACATTTGATAAGCAAGTTGAAAACTATGATCTTTCTAGATTTAACCAAAAAAGCAAGTTGAAACCAAAAAGAAGAAAATTAAAAAAACAATTGCTACGTCAAAGGGGCTCTCTCATCGACCTTTGTCATCACCACCAAACTCGGCAACATATTGGTTTATTCTAATTTGATTCTCTTTGATATTTTCCCGATTTAATAAAAGATTTTGTAGATGTCATCTTTGAAATAAATGCAGAAGTATCTACTGCTGAATTTGAATCACACCGTGTTCATACACTCTATAGTCATTATATTATGGTTTCTATGTATCACCAGCGGCAAGGAAGAGACAAGAATGGATGATGGATCAATGGAATGATTTTATTTCTTTTGCCTAGTTAATTTTATGTTATTTCTAGTTTCAGTTAATCTTTTTATATTTTTTATTTTTTATTATCAAATTTTAAATCTATCTATCTTTAATTTTAAATTAAACCTATATAATATAAAGAATTAAATTATAAATAAAAAATATAGTTTTAAGAATTAATGAAAAAAGTTCTTCAGCCCAAAAAAAGGTATCAATTTTATCATGAAAAAGGTCGACATTTAAACCAATGGTTAGTTTCTCAACTGTATAAACAAGCCTAAACGTAAATTTCAATAAATTAATAAATGACACAGACTCCAACAACGAAGCTTTCATAGCTCAGTTGGTTAGAGCACCCGTTTAGTAAGCGGGAGGTCTTGAGTTCAACTCTCAATGAAAGCAAAGCGCTAAATGTTTTAATCTTTTTGTTTTCTAGTTTTCTCTAATTGCTAAACATATCCTTCAATTTTCTATATGTAGAGAAATAGACCATAAAGTTTGAAAACTTTCAGAAACGGCCTCTCGTACTAACGATGGCTTTTTAATTTTATTTCTAGTCCTCTCGCTTGCAGTCTCGCTTTACAGTCTCCTTCTTCTCTCGTCGCCGTCGCTATTTTATCTTTTCGGTAAGTTTCTCTCTCTCTTTTTCTTCTTCTCTGTCGAGATTCAACGTGTAGTCTCATTGCCGATTGTGAAAATGGTCCGTTTTTGTTTCCCAAGTTTCTTATGGAACGTGTTCGATGAAATGTCTCAAAGAGCATTTTTTGGATTCATAACGAAATGTAGAAACTTTGCCCAGATTGTTCGGGATCTAATGCTGCTGTCTTAGTTTTAAATCGAAATTCACTAACGTCAACGAAACTGGACCTAATTTTGAAGAATCATTGCTTAGAGTTGATCGCAGTGACATAGAAACCCTAATTGCAGGGACTAGTGTGTTTCAGCATCAAGTTCTTACCTTTGTATGAGGCATTTACCTTTCTAGCTTTAAAGAACAACTCTGAGTCTTGTTATTGAAGTGTTTTTTGTCCTTTTGCTAAACTTGTCAGCCTACAATGTGTGATTTTGCAAATTGATTTGATTGATCATGTTTCATTGTTTGTTTTCTTGCTTTGAACAGGTAGTTTCAAGGAAGATGGCTAGTGGTAGCCTGAAACGTCTTGTAGCTTCAGCAGTCACTAATGGCGTGACCGAAGCAAGAGCAAGGATTTTCGGACATGTACTTAACCCAACGGGACAGAGATCTCCTCATAAGATCTTAAGGAAGAAGCTTTTTGGTGATAAGGTTTCAGAATGGTATCCATACGACATCAAGAATGAGGATCCCAATGTCATGGCTAGAGAAGAACAAGAGTACTTTCCGAAACTTCTTTCTTTTTATTTATTTACTTCCCTTTAGTGCAAACAGGTGTAACCAGCTAGATGAAATCAAGCAAGCCTTAGATTCGGTTTGAGTGGACTGGAGCAATGTATAGATAACATAATTCCATAAGCAGTACTTGAATTGGAAAGAGTACGTAGATGATATCTGCTGACTTGGTGTGGTAGGTGATAAGCCTTGTGTTAGTCTAGTGCAGGAACAATGTAATTACCTTGGTCGTTTTTAACTGTGTTGGCATTTTTGAAACTATATTTGAGTCAGTTTGCTAGGGAGCTAACAGCGTAAAAGGAAATTTAGGTAGGAGAGGTTGAGCATTCTTGACTGGTCTAGGATCTTGGTTTAAGCTTAAGGTGCTTTAAAATTCATCCTAGTGTTCTATCTTTGGTTCTCTGCTTCAGTATGTTTTCTGTTCGTCTTCTGAATCATATCAGAGAGTCAATAAAGGGAGAATCGTTTCTGGTTCTTATCGGCAGTGTATGAATTCATGGCATGAGACAGAAACGCGATATAGGAATTCTTGTACTTAGATGGTTGTGTTATGTGAGGCTTATGTTCTCGAGTTTGTGTGGTGAAATGTAGCAAAATAGCTTTATGACATCGGAATTACGTGTGTCGCGGATGTTTTCTTATTTGAGAAGGATAGTCTTAAGAATCGTACTGTCTTTGAACTTTACTTACACTTGGTTTAATCCGCTGCTTCTATTATTGTTGTTCAGTCATAAAGAGGTCCTGAAGTTGAGTTTGTGTGTTGTTGTAGGCGCATATCTAAGCTTGAGATGTTGAAGCGTCGAAACAAAGGACCACCAAAGAAGGGTCACGGAAGACGTGCAGCGAAGCGTAACAAGTAGAAAAGTAGTAATCATAGCTACAAAAGAAAAAGGCAATCTGCATTTTTAGAATCAGATAGAACTTACTATTAGTAAAGACTATCTACATAAATTTCTCAGGCTTTAACTGCATTGGGTTTACAAATGATGTGCTGAGACAAAGTTGAAAGCTATAAGCTTCTCTTTTGAATTGATACAAAATTTTTAAAGATGGCTTTTGTTTCTCTTTATTTTCTACTCTTCTTTTTTCGTAGTCTTTACTTTTAGTATGCACAAGCTGATATACTTGTGCTGTGTCACAATCTTGGATTCAAATCCAAAACTATGTGTATGAGTTGTCGATGACAAAGAAAAATGTTGTCTTTAACCAAGTTCATTTTGTTGTTGTTATTGCCAATTTTTTTTGCGAAAATTGCTAACATTCATTGAATGGATTAGTCCAGAAAAGTTAAAAAGAACCGAATTTTAAGACAGAGTTGGTGTAACCTGTCTGCTAATATACTCCACGTGTGTAAAATGGCTCAAACTTATATGAACCACATTAGTAAAAGATGTCGAACAGAATAAATCACCCACCTAAACTAAAAGATTCGTGAACTGATTTAGCACTTTGAGAGAGAGCGATGGAGCAACCTCTCAAGATTCAATCTTTGTTCATATATCCTATCAAATCTTGCCGTGGAATCTCTGTCCCTCAGGCAACCGTAACTCAGACTGGTAAAATTTAAGAACAAACTTCTTCTGTTCGTTTGATTCATTAGAAAAAGTTCGTTCTGTTTTGTTTCTAAATTGGTTTCTTGGATTTTGATCTGCTTCTGTTCCATTATAAGTTCTGGGTTCGATGGTTCCGGAAAAGGGTCAACAAATTGTCCGGGAAAATGCTATTTATAGAGTGATATGAACACTAAAAATTCTCTCTTTTTTCTTTTAGTATCTATGGCCTGCATGAACACTCTCATTTCTATGGGTTTTTATGATACTAGAAAAGGGTCTTGTTTGATTAGATTGAAAGTGTACAAATTTTTTGAGGAAGTGAACAATTTTCCGGGAAAATGCTATGGATAGGGTAAAATGAGAGTGAACACTAAAAGCTTTCCATTTTTTTTTGTTGTTGGCATGAACACTAAAGCTTCACTCACAATTTCTGTTTTGTTATATGTTACTGGTTCGATGATACCAGAAAAGGGTCTTGCTTGTTTGGATGGAATAAGTAAGTATTCTGAGAAAATGAACAAATTATCCGAGAAGATGCTACTAAACAGGCTAAATCTTGATAAGAAACTGGATCCCCATGAATGTTATTGATGGAATGTTCGACTATGAAGGATCTGATGTATAATTCCATGTGCTTAATCTGTGAAAACTGATGTTATAGGATTTCAATGGGACCGGTATTGGCTAGTTGTGAACTACAAAGGACGAGCATACACTCAAAGAGTTGAGCCAAAGCTTGCTCTTGTCGAATCTGAGTTGCCAAAAGAAGCCTTCTTTGAAGATTGGGAGCCAACAAAGAACTCATTTTTGGGTAAATTCCCGCTAAAAGTTACCAAAGTTTTTTTTTTTTCTGTAATCGAGGCTAGAACTTCACGTCTGGATGATTTCATTTTGCAGTTGTAAGAGCTCCTGGTATGAGTCCGTTAAAGATCCCAATGACCAAACCAAGCTCGGTGGCAGAAGGTGTGTCGATGTGGGAATGGTCTGGCTCTGCGTTTGATGAAGGAGAAGAGGCAGCGAAGTGGTTCTCAGATTATCTCGGAAAACAAAGCCGTTTGGTTCGGTTTAATAAAGGTTTTCTTTTTGTTTTCTTGTTCTTGTGAATCTTTTCATTTGCAACAGATTTGGATGCATGGAGTTGATCAAGTATTTGTTTTTGAAAATTTTGTGTAGAAACTGAAACTAGACCTTCACCTCCTGAGTTTGCAGCAGGTTACTCTACAACATTTGCGGATATGTTTCCGTTTTTGTTTGCATCTCAGGTGAGACATTATTGATAATTCCAATATCGGTTAATGAGAATACTCATCTGATATTCTTTTTGCTTTGTGTTCTTAGGCTTCTTTAGACCAACTGAACACACTTCTACCAGAACCTGTGCCTATTAACCGTTTTCGACCCAAGTAAACTATTATTCATCCTGAGTTCTTAACATTTTCAAATAATGGTGGTTGTTTTATTTATAATCTGGATTTTCTTTTAGTTTTCTTGTCGATAACTGTGATCCTTTTGGGGAAGATCTTTGGGAGGAAATCAAGATTAACGATTTAGTCTTTCAAGGAGTTAGGCTATGTAGCCGCTGCAAGGTGAATATGATGTGAAAAGTAAAGTGTACTCAGATTCTCAACTCAAGGCTTTTAAAAATGTTTTGTTCCTTTCAGGTACCAACTGTGAATCAAGAAACCGGAGTTCCAGGTGCAGCAGAACCAACCGAAACTCTGATGAAATTCAGATCAGACAGTGTCTTAATGCCAGACAAGAAACCGCGCGGAAAGGTTAGATCTAAGCATTGTCTGGTTTTGAGAAAAGACTTGTTGGATTCAGTATGATACTACATATTGAGAGACATCTAAAAATTTCAAGCTCTTGTCTAGTTTTAGGAAGAAACTTATTCGTCAGTATGATGCTAAACCTATGCGATAAACTGATATCAAATGTCGGTTTTTAACAGGTTTTCTTTGGTAAGGAGATGGTTTGGAATTGGAACCTAACCAACAGTGAAGGCAAAGGCAAGAAGACAATTAAAGTTGGTGATACCATCTCTGTCCTAAAGAAGATACCTTCCAGAGCTGAAGCAGCCGTTTAACTCAAACGTTTTGCTTCTTCTTCTTCTGTGTTATGTTGTTATCTCTAAATAAAGTAAAGAAAGACACTTGCTTGCTCATGTAAATCACAAGGTTCATTTGTTCTGAGATTCTTCATACTGTGGAAAGCGTGCTTTAGAGCTTTGAAAATCTGAAGACTTGGATCATATCTTTCTCTAGATATTGTACGTAATCAAGAGGCCATTGAAACTTGTTTTTTTTTTTAACTCAAAACAAGAAGAAGAAAATGCCAAAATGTGCAATACTACAATGTATCAGATTCTTACTTGAAAAGAGGTCTCATTGTAACATTTCAATCGTAACCACTTAGGCAACGAATCACACACTTAGCGAACAAGAAAAAGAGAGGCTATAACATTTAAAAGTCATGGATGCATTAGGCAATTAGCATTCATAATGAAACAGGAAACATCAATAAGTTCATAAGTTGTCTTGAGGATAAGAAAGTACTACTAATATAAAAAGCAGAGATGAAAATACAACATTCTCGAAACAAACAAAAGCCATATTAAACCATAAAAGTACTCATGATGATGGTGAAGGTTATGATGAGAGACTCATCCACGTGTGATGTGGATCTTGATGGAATGAACCAGCTTCCTGTGATGAAGCATCTCGCAGTTGACCTTATCTTGCACTCTAAGCCTGTTTCTTCTACAAATCCTGTCCCATCCTTTGAAACAAATCCTATCATCAGCCCATTTCCCTCTTTCCCCTACCATGGTGCCTTCTTCATCAACATACTTGATGCTTTCACCAAACCTAAACCCCATGTCTTTCACCACTTCTGCTGGAATCAACTTCAAAAAACAAAACAAAAAAAAAACGTGTAAGAGACAAGTTATATTGACGAAGAGAAAGATAATAAACGAATCTCAAGATTTTTTTTATACCAGCTCATAAATCCTGTTCTTGAGGCCGGTAGTAAAGTAGGGATTCGTCATACTCATACTCGTAACCTCGGATTGTGAGATCCCTGTAATAACTAAGACAACTTATTCTTTAGTATTAGTTAGTGTGTATTCACAATGTTAAATACTATGAAAAAAGCTATCTTTACCTGCATCATCAGATTCTGTGTCTTCACCACCATCTACTAAAGGATCTTCTTCTTCTTCTTCATAATCAGAATCAGCGACAGCTTCTTCTTCTTCTTCAGATTCAGTGTCAGAAATCTCGACAGTCTCCTTCACAGCTCTTGTCTCTTTGGAACCCCAGCGATTGTAGACACTGACTTCAAACGTGTTGTAGCCGTCATAGACAAACGTCAAGAACTCTCCGTTCTTGAGATCATGGTCCTCTGCAAACTTGGACCATCCAGCTGTGAAATACGCACGCTGTCGTATTTTCTTGAAGCTCACTGTCCAAATTCCTCCTCCAGTGCCTTGGAGCTTCACTGTCTGAGGCAATGGATCTTCAAGATGTTCACTGAAGGACACTGGGATCGACTGATAATCCAAACACAGAAAGTGTATACATCAGAAACTTGAGAGAGTATGAATGAGCCAAAGACACAGTGAGAAGAGTGAGATTTTTAGCAGCAGACAATAACATGAAGACACTAAGCAACCAAACATGGTTACAAGTAAACTAGTAAAACGTCATCAAAGTCATCTGAGTCTCTTTCCTAAAGTTAAGCAGCTCACAATGAAAAGAAACAAAGGGAAAAAATCTAGAATCTTTTATCACTTTCATTCGTTCTCTATCTTGAAGCAGGAAACATGATAAAAACGAATCTTTCACTGGTTTCTGCTAATTAAAGACATTATTTCCCCTAAGCGTGAGATATTTAGCAGCAGACAAGACATGAAGACACTAAGAAACCAAAAATTCTTTCCACTAATACTTAAAGTCGGAGACTTTTTACTTACTGCAGATATGGAAGAAGGAAGGACAAAGACATTGAGAGAAAGAGAGAATTTTTACCATTGATTCAGAGGCAGTTTCTGAGAGGAAAACCTTGAAAAAACGTGGAAGAACAACGTCATTGTCAGTTTCAGCCATGGAGGATGATGGAAGAGAGAGTCTGACAAATGGATCTCTTAGCTCGAGAGGGAGAAATCTTTGGAGAGAGAGAGACTTGAGAGAATTATGTTTGAAGGAGGAGAGATAGAAAATGAGTCTAAAGAAGCGAAAAACAGAGTTGAACTAATTCTCATATTTACAGTTTGACCCCATATATTATTACAAATTACAGTCAAAGAAGCTGATGTCAATGTGTTCGTACTCTAAAAGAAGCTTTTTTCCAGTGGAACACCAAGTTTGCGTGTCTTTGAAAGTGTGATTTTGTTTGTTTGTTTGGAACTTTGTTTGTTTATTCGATCTTAAGCTTTGAAATCCGGTTTCTGTATTGCTTCTTAAACCGAGCTAAACCAGCTCAATAAAATCACAATTGGTTCAGTTGGTCTTCGGTTTAAACCAATCAAGAATCACAAGCTCGAATTCGGCACAAGCTTTCTTCAATTTCAGTCTTCCTCGGCCATCGATCTGAATCTCTCTGGCAGGTACTTATTCGATTTTTCCTTTTCTCGTTGCCATCTTCAGATGATCTTCAATATCATCGCCGACATTGATTTTTGTGGTTATCGGTGTTTGGTTCTCGACTGATTCGTCTTTGAGTTGTATTGAGACCGTAGATGTATTCTTCAGTTTACTTATATAATTGTGTAGAAAGTTTTCGAATTTGGAGTTTTTATTTCACTCAAGTATAGAATTTGCGTTTATCAAGCTTGAAAGCTTAAACCCTTTAGTTTGGGAGAAGTAGGAACACGTTAAAACCCTTCAATTTCTGTTGCATTAGCTAGTTCATGTCCTGGATCATGAGTCTTTGATTTTGTATTCCAGGAAGGAGACACAAGATCTAAGTTTCTTCTGTATTAGGATCTGAAATGGCTAACACTGCCTGCTTTATAATCGTGGGTCGGAATGATATTCCCATCTATGAAGCTGAAGTTGGATCTGCTGCTAAAGTACATTTCTTGCTCTGAATCTTTCACATGATAGTTATATATTCCAAGCTCCTTCTTTTGACATTGGTTTCCTGTTCACAGTTTATCTTCCTTGGAATGGAAATATCCAGGATAATAAATTTGATTATCATTGTTTGTTAATGTAGCTTTTTTATTTGAAAAGGTTGGCTATTACTCTTGTTTTGATGAAGGAACGTTTCACACTGTCATGCATTTAAATTACCAAGCAAGCATGCATTGTTCTGTTCTTACTAGAGTATTAATTAAAAAAAATCAGTATTTGTCTTAAGATCATCTAAGCTAGCTGAACAGGAATCGCATGAGTAATTGGTTTCTGGTCTACTGTTTGTTCGATTATACTTGCCAAGTTACTCTGTGTTTGGTTTGATATTTTCATCTACTTGGTAGATATATCATGTTTCAACCATTGATAGCAATTATTGTGATGCTTAACTTATCAGTCTCTCACACCTTTATTTCTATTTGAGCAGAGAGAAGATGCTGCTCAGTTGCACCAATTTATATTACATGCAGCTTTAGACGTCGTCCAAGACCTAGCATGGACTACAAGTGCCATGTAAGCACATTCTCTTGTGAAATGTTTGAAATGGATTCATCTCACTGTCGTATAAAACTCTTCAGGTTCTTGAAGTCCGTCGACAGGTTTAACGATCTGGTTGTATCAGTGTATGTTACTGCAGGCCATATCCTTTTTCTTTGGAACCAAAATAGCAAAGAGCAAATCATTTTTCCTTGTTCTTCTGATTCATCCATCTAAATAATGTCTCAGACTGATCTCTCGATCCGTTATGAATGTTTGTTTCTTCCTTAATTTATTAACACATACTCGTCTCATGCTCCTTCATGATTCACGCAATGAGGACGGTATCAAGAGCTTCTTTCAGGAGGTGCATGAGCTTTATATAAAGGTTGAAACAATTTCTTGACTGATCAATTCGTTGTTGTTTGTTCTGTCCTAATTTGGTTGCACCATAGTAACACAATCTATTGCATCACCATCATGGAAATCATCTTTTGTCCATGCAGATTCTTCTAAATCCTTTGTATCTGCCCGGTTCTCGCATCACATCGTCGCATTTTGACACCAAGGTACGCGCACTCGCAAGGAAGTATCTCTAGAGAAGACAGAGATTCTGTGCAATGGCCAATTTTCTTGGATACATATCGCAATTTTTTGTCTTTTATGTTTAGTTTAATGCTGGATATTGTTATTTATATAACTTTCAGTCACATTTTAATGTTGAAATTCCTTTGTTTGGTATGAGAAATGATCATTCAATCCAAACCATAATTTCCTCTTTGATTGCTGGTAAGTCGAAAATATTACTAGTAAACAGAGAAACTGGAAAACAGATTCCTTGTGTGTTATTTTCTGATTCTTATAAGATTAAACGTCTCACCTAAAGTAATGTGAAACTTTAATCTATCTATATTATTATTTGCGAAGTCAAAAATCTTATGTATCGTTTTCAGAATGATTTGCTTATGTATCATTATTAAAAAATATATATATATATATATGTAGTTTTAATTTATTTCGATTGAGTGATCATTAATCCTACGTATCAATATGTGTAACATGGTTTTTTTTATCGAGTTTGTTAATGGACCAGCGGTTTTATTCTCGGTCATAGCCAATAATCAGTTAAATGGGTCACCAACAAAAAAATCCTAAACCCTAAAACATATGTCCTACACTATATATATATCCGTATCGTCTACATATGTTTTTCACTTACAACAACCGTCACTGTTTTCTTAGATCATGTTCCTCTTCTTTACTGTTCATAAACGTCTTTTATATTTTCTTGTTCGTAAAGAGATGTTAATTTTGTATAGATAGCTTATTTTCTTAAATTAACTTGCGCTTCTTTGTATAGATAGCCTATTTTCTTATATTCGATCTTTCTGTAGATAACTTAGTTTATTAAATTAACCTTAGCTTCTTTGTATAGATAACTTATTTTCTTATATTCGTGTTCGTAAGTATAAATTAACCTGAGCATTTTTTTTTGTTTTTTCTTAAACATAGAGTTCATCTCGTAAACTATAGCTGATTGACTGAAACTTTTGGAATCATATCTTCCCATGAATCTAGCAGGTGATTATAAATAATAATTGTTATTAATTAGTTTTTTTTTACAAATTTAAAATGTTCAAAAATATTTTACTTGTTATACTATCCTACTCGCAAATTCTCTAATTTATTATTTTGATCCTATGGACAGGGAAACACGTTTTACCTTACCATCTCAGTAACTAAAAAAAAAGAAAGACAATATGTATGCATAAGATCTATTTTAAATTTGTAAAAAAACTAATTAACAATAATTATTATTTATAATTACCTGTTAGATCCATTGGAAGATGTGTTTCAAAAGTTCGAGCCAATCAGTTATAGTTTGCGGGATGAACTCTAGGTTTAAGGAAAACAATAAAGAAGCTCAGGTCAATTTATATTTACGAACAATAACTGACTATTCCTAAACATTTATGAACACAAATATAAAAAAAGACGTTTACAAACAATAAAGAAGAGGAACACGATACATGCATAAGAATGATATGAAGAAGGAGAATGAAGATATGGCCAAGATGGTTGAAAGTAAACTAAGAGAACAAAATAGAGAATAAGAATGATGAGGAATTTGTTTCTGAACTTCTACAGCTTTGTTGCAACTTTTGATCATTTTATTATTATTTTACATGTGAAAACAGACGTAATGATCTAATTTCCAATGAGAGCAATGAGACATCGTTTTTGAAAAGTTGTGTATTGTAAAAGTGTTTCATCTGAATTTGATTTTGATTAAATGAAAAAAGCTTTATGAAACCTCCGTTAGAGGTAGCATAAACAGAGCAAAACAACGGTGAAAAAAACATGTTAGCCCACAAATCTTAAGTTCTCTTTTTTTTTTATTTCACAAGAATTATTATACTACCTTTAAGGGAATTGATTCTGTTCAAATCAATGCAACTATCAATTATAATTCATATTCAAAATAAGAGAAAAAAAAACTACAAAAGAAATCGAAAGATACAAAAGAAGAAGAAGCAGAAAAAGAAAACGAACAGACAACAAAAAAGTCAAAAAAAGACAAAGACAAAGTCATATCAATTAAATCCGAAAAGAAAAATAAAAAAAGTGGATATCCTAAACTAATGAAGAAACATAAGGATAACAAGATGGGGAAGTTGAAGAAGAAGAAGAAAAAGAATCAGACACTGGAGAAGTTAGAGAAAAATAAAAAATGAGAAAACAAAGTAGTATAAGAATAAGAGGAAGAAGAGGAGGAGTAATAAAGTGGAAAAAAGAAGAAATTGAGATTATAATTATTGTGAAAAATAAGTAAAAAATAAGAAAAAGAAGAAGAAAAATATAATGAGGAAGATCAGAAGAGGAAGCAAAGGAAGACAAAGCAGAAGATGAAGAAGACAAAGACGAGATAAGTAAGAATGATAGATTAAAGAAAAATCAAAAGAAATAAGACGAAGAAAAAATAAAATTAAAAGAAGAAGCATGTGTTGGAGAAGACAAAGAGGATAAATAAGTAGAAGTCAAAGTCGAAGAGGATGAAGATGAAAAAGGAAACGAGGAAGATGAGATAAAAAAAGAGGAGGAGAAGAAGAGAGAGCTGACTAATAAAAACTCAGAAAATAAGAGGACGTATATGTTTTAGATAAGGAAAAAAAAACGGAAATTGAAGATGACAAAGTATGAGAAGGTAAAGATGGAGAAAGAAGCTAAGAAAAACGTAGAACAAGAAATCAAAGGAGACAAAGAAGAAAAATGTGATGAATTATAAGAAGGAAGAAGAACAAGAACAAGACGGATAAAAACAAAAGAAAACAAGAAGAGGAAGTCGAAGAAAACAAAGATTATAAAAAAGAAGAAGCCCAAGATGATTAAGAAATTAAGGAAAATACCATGAAAAAGAGAAAATTAATAATATAGAGAAGAGGAAGAAAAAGAAGAAGATAGAGATGAAGACGTAGAAGATGAAGAAAAACCGAAAGAATAATAAGTCAGAGAAGACGAAAACAATGAAAAAGAGTAATCTGAAAGATAAAGACTAACAAACCAAAAGAGAATCGCGAAGAACAACTGTTGGAAAAAGAAAAAGATGATAAAAGAATAAGTCACGGGTCAAAAAGGATAAAAAAGAGGAAAGAAACCATAAATTCAAATAAGTTAAAAAAGAAGAGGAAAGAGAAACATGTTGGAAAGAACCCGATTTAAATGACAAACATTTTGCCAGAAAATGGAGATAATTTTCTGGCGAGGGAGAGACAAAAGGAATTACAGAAAAAGAAACTTATGTAATTACAATGTTTTAGTAAATAGAACAATATATTCATTATGGTTATTAGATCTTTTTTTGTTGGTCAAATGTCTAACATTGTTGTTATATTTGTGTTTGGTATTTTATTTATAATAAAGTTAATAGTTTAAAGATGTGATCACCCAATTATATTTTGTGTTAAATCTTCTGACATTATATATTTTACCGAATTCAAAACACATCAACTATTCTATTTTGGGGTTTTGAGATATTGGATCAGTGCTTTATTTGTCTTTGTTGTTTTTTTTTAGTTTGATGAGTTACAAGTTTTTTTGTGTTTCAACGTTCGATAGTATTATGTAAATTACTCATAGTATTAATCTTTTCGTCTGTTTAAGTTAAACAGTTAAATGCTATCTCTTTATACATCAGTATTACCTGTTCAAAATTACAAAAAATTAGAGTATGTGATCATCACTCTCTCAAGACAAGTAATAATACTTTCATTTTTAATACACTTCGCCCTCACATGGTTCACATGGTGCAGGCTACCACGTAGTTGCTAATAAAATAAAGTGAAATTAATATACATGTTGTTTCCTCTTCTTCTTCTTTTTCTTCTTTCTTGCTCATGTAAATTACATACTTCACTTGTTCTCACCTCGTTGAGTCGTTTGAGCTTTAAAAAGCTGGGGAAAGTTGATTAAATCTTCATCAGAGAACTATTAAACAAACAATCAGAAGTCGTCGTCGTCTCATGACTTGGGCAATGTTTCTTGGATTGGATTTCTTCACAAACAAAGTAGAGATCGTGACAACAACTTACTCTAATGAATTTTTAATCGTTCTTGTCGTTAACTTGAGGGTACTAACTCATCATTGTGACAGAAATTCGGCCCAGAGAGAAATGGAAGAGCAAGCTCTGAAGATTTCATCTTTGTTCATATATCCTATCAAATCTTGCCGTGGAATCTCTGTTCCTCAGGCAGTCGTCACTCAAACTGGTAAATGAAGAACAAACTTCTCTCTTCGTTTGATTCTTGAGAAGAAAATAAGATCAAACTGTCCCTATTTGTTGGCATGAATACAGTGTTTCGATGATACTAGAAAAGGGTCTTAAATAGGGCTTAATCTATTTATGATCGAATGTTTTGACTATGAGTTTGTCTTGGTGTGGGCCTAATGGATATAATCTGTGGAAACTGATGTTACAGGATTTCAATGGGACCGGAATTGGCTAGTTGTGAACTATAAAGGAAGAGCATACACTCAAAGAAATGAGCCAACGCTTGCTCTTGTCGAATCTGAGCTACCTGAGGAAGCTTTCTTGGAAGATTGGGAGCCAACAGAGAACTCATTTTTGGGTTAGTTTCTGTTAAAAGCTTACAAAAGTTCTGTATGAATCAAGAAATCAAATTTATGTTCTTGATTATTATTTTCTTGCAGTGCTAAGAGCTCCTGGTATGAGTCCATTAAAGATTCCATTGACTAAACCAAGCTCGGTGGCTGAAGGTGTGTCGATGTGGGAATGGTCTGGCTCTGCGTTTGATGAAGGAGAAGAAGCAGCACAATGGTTTTCAGATTATCTCGGAAAACAAAGCCGTTTGGTTCGGTTTAATAAAGGTTTTGTTTTTTCTTGTGAATCTTTTCATTTGCAAAAGATTTGGATGTATAGAATTGATTTTTTTTGGAAATTTTGTACAGAAACTGAAACTAGACCTTCACCACCTGAGTTTGCACCAGGTTACTCTACAACATTTGCGGATTTGTTTCCGTTTTTGTTTGCATCTCAGGTGACACATTATCGATAATTCCAATATCTGTTAATGAGAATACTCATCTGATCTTCTTTTTGCTTTTTGTTCTTAGGCTTCTTTAGACCAACTGAACACACTTCTACCAGAACCAGTGCCTATTAACCGTTTTCGACCCAAGTAAATTATTATTCATCCTGAGTTCTTAACATCTTCAGATAATGGTGGTTGTTTTATTTATAATCTGGATTTTCTTGTAGTTTTCTTGTTGATAACTGTGATCCTTTTGGAGAAGATCTTTGGGAGGGAATCAAGATTAACGATTTAGTCTTTCAAGGAGTTAGGCTATGTAGCCGCTGCAAGGTGAATATGATGTGAAAAGATACATTCAGATTCTCATTTTGAAGGTTTTTTTTAAAAGTATTTTGTAATTTCAGGTACCAACTGTGAATCAAGAAACCGGGGTTCCGGGTGGAGCAGAACCAACTGCAACTCTGATGAAATTCAGATCAGACAGTATCTTGATGCCAGACAAGAAACCGCGCGGAAAGGTTAGTTGTAAGCTCTTGTCTAGTTTTGAGAAGAAATTTCTTTCAGTATGGTGCTAAACTGATTCAACAAACTGATATCTCTATTTTGGTTATATGACAGGTTTTCTTTGGTAAGGAGATGGTTTGGAATTGGAACATAACCAATATCGAAGGCGAAGGCAAGAAGACAATCAGAGTTGGTGATTCCATCTCTGTCCTAAGCAAGATCTCTTCAAGAGCTGAAGCAGCTGCTGGTGATTCCATCTCTGTCATGAACAAGATCTCTTCAAGAGCTGAAGCAGCTGCTTAAGTTAGAGATATTAACATTCTGCTTCCTCTTGTTTTTTCTGCTGTGTTGTGTTATTATCTCTAAATAAAGTAAAGACCGATACGTTCTTGCTCATGTAACTACAATCTTCACTTGTTTTTGGGATTCGTCTTGTTGAAAGTGTGATTTTGTTTGGTTTGAATTGTTTTTATTTAAGAGCTTTTAAAACCTGGGGACCTTGATTAGGATCTTTCCTCAGAGCAAGTACTGAAGAAGCAATTGAAACCTTTTTTTTTAACTCAAAACAAGAGGAAGAAAGAGCCCAAATGTGCAAAACTACAATATATCATCAGATTCATACTTCAAAGAGCTCTCTTTTGTTAAAATTTCAACTTATCAGACTCCAAAAGTTCTTGAACAGCCACCAAATCAGGAAGCACAATAGCTCCAGCTTCTCTCCAGTCTTTAGCAGCTTCTGTCTGAAACCTATCAAGCAACAAAGCATGCATCCCAATACTCTTTGCCGGAACATAATCTTTACGCATGCTGTCTCCAATATGCAAAACCTCTTCAGGCGGAATATTCCCTGCTCTCTCTAGCGCAATCCTATAAATCCTCGGATCTGGTTTCTCTACACCTTCAATGCCAGAGAACACGCCAAAATCCCACTCTTCCTAAAACCAATCAAATAAAAACCTTGAGTCCAACTATTTAAGAACCTAAGAATCACACACATTCACAATTGAGTCATTACACTACCTTGTTCAAACCTAAGGCAGGTAATATAACTTCTTGATATCTGTATTCCGCGTTGCTAACAAGTCCAACTATAAGCCCTTTATTGCGTGCCCATCTCAGAAACGGTCGAGAGTCTTGAAACACAGAGTAAGGTGCAGCAGAACCAAACGTTGAATAGATTCTCCTAAATACTTTCTCAAATGTCTCCTCATCATACTCATATCCTGCCTAATCATATCAAAGTAAGTAACACATACATAAACGCACAACATCACAATCACTTCCAAGAAGATAAAAGCAAATCAAATCAAAATACCTTCACAAATGAATCTCTCACGCAGGTTTTCCACCAAACAATGTTTGGCATTTTAGCGGAGAAACCGAAGCAAGGATACTTTTGTGCCATATCTGTGTAAGCTAGTTTAAAACCTTCATGGACTCGTTTGTAATCGGGACAAGGCAAGCCAATTGCTTTAGCAGCCATACAATAGTAATCACCAAGCTCTCCTTTGTAAGCTATGAGTGTACCGGTAACATCTACTGTGATACACCGTAATTTCGATAAAAGCGACATCCTTTTTTCAGATTCTTTCACCAAAATCTGCACTTAAAACACAAATGGTTTTGAAATCAATGATCAATTGTTAACAGAGATACAGGTACGAAATTAAGCTCCTAATGACTTATTTCTTCACCTACCAAATAGTCCCTTTCAATTCAAGAAAATGGGATAACATTAACAGAGATTGCATAAAAGTGCTGATTGATTGAACAAGAATCAAAATAAAAGCAATAAATGATCGAATTGAGGCAAGTATCAATGGCAACAGTAGACTCTTATCAATGTAGGGACTCAAAGACGAAAGCTTTTTCGCAAGAATCCAAAAGAAAAGCATGAAACTTTCGGAGAACTCCGGAAGGAGAGAGAGAAATTTGAAGTACCCAGAAGCTGAAATCCCAGAAATATCTGATTTATTCGTCTATTGAGTTATCTTCGAAGCTTAAGCTACACTGAAATGAAAACCGAAGACTCTGTTTGTATAAATAAGACAAGCGAAGTTGAATAGAAGCGTGTTTGCGTGTGATTGCGCACACAGACAAGTTAGGCAGCTAATAGAATTTTTAACGAGTATTTATTTTGATGTTAAGAGATATATTTCTTGAGAAATCGGACATTCTTATAGACTTAAATGGTAATTAATTGCATTTTTGGGGAGCAAGTTCGAGGATGTTTTGGTAAATTTGCATACAGAAGGGAAAACGAGAAAAACAAAAAATAAAATATCAATCCATTGGATGGCATGATAGTGGCCTGCTGTATTGTCTAGACTCTAAACCCAAAACCGGTTTCAGGTTTCCGATAATTTTTTTTACCGTTTTTTTAATAAATGATTTTAGGGATTTTAATTGTACTATCATTATGATCACTAAAATTGATTTGTTTAACATTATTTGTTTTTTTGTTGTTGTTGTTGATGTTGTGTCTGTGAAGTTGTTTACATGAAGCTAAATAGTTAACATTGTCATTATTTTGCGTTTTGAAAATAACGTGTATAAGTCACATACTAGTAAGAATTATGTGTTCAACAAATTTTAAAAAATTTTCTGGATAATTTATTTTCTTGGTTTCTGAATTATAATAGTTCTAACTTCTAAGTAACCTTTATTCTAGAAAGTTGAATACAAGGAATCTGGTGGGCCGGAATCTGGTATTTAAAAATACAAGAACAAATCTCAAACAAGATAAGGACTAAACAATATGTACAGTCAAAGACAAAGACAAAGGTACTTGGATCTATCTGTTCAATGGTGGAAAATAATGAGCAATGCTTGAAGCAGAACCATCACCTTTGCTTTTACCAGCCTTAAGCTGCTTATTGGGCCGTAGCAAACTCCTAAACTCTCTTTGAATCTCAGCCGGTAATTCATCGAAGACCGACTGATCGATTTCACCAATCTTATAGCTCCATTCTGTTTCTCTTCTCTCTTCTACCTCTTGATTCACTTCACTACTATGGCTGCTTCTGCTACTAAAGTTGGCTCTTTTACTGGTTGATGACACTGTGGAATCTTCTCGAGTCTCTTGCTTTGATTGAGGAGTTGCAGTGTAGTTCTTAAAAATATCGACTATTGAAGGCATTCCCTAAGAACAAACAAATGAACTCCTCTCAGCACAATGTAGAAGCTTTTCTGCAGATTTCAGAACAAAGGGATAGTGTACCTGATTCTTTTCTTTTGCGTTGTTTGTCTTCCGTCCAATTCTCTTCGTTTGTGTGCCTTTGTTTGATCCTGATTGGGTCTGAAAATCTGTTGTTTCGTTTAACAGACAAGACATATCCTGAGAAGGAAAGTGTGGGTTTAAGATACACCAATAACTTGACAAGACAACTTGAGAACATGAATAAGCTCTTAATATCATTCAATCCATACAGCTCCTAACCAATCATTTCTTTACCAATTCAGATTGTGAAAGAACCACTTCACATTTAGATTCTCTTGAAACTGAGAACGTAATTGTTCTTAATTTAGATCTTTAGCCTTAGTAAACTTCTAAAAAGGCTTATGATGTAATATAGTGTATCGAAAAATGAGCGGAAACATTTGCTGATATAGATATAGATACCTTTTCAGGGATTAGGTCAATGTTTTTATGTAGGTTGTCTAAATCAGGCAGAGTATAAGTTGCACCAGTGTCTCCTTCAAGGGATGCTGCTTGGGTCTCTACTGATCTTTGTTCTGAACAACCTTCACTAGCTGCACCAGTTGCAGGAAAAATCATGAAATTAAGTTATTATAGTAAAGAGCAAAAGAAAGCTCTAAAATCATAGAAAAACACTCTGCAATACCTGAAGGAGCGTTCACTATATGTTCTTGAACACAACCATCTGCTGAACAAGAAGGAACAGTAGATTGGCTTTGGAAATATCTCATTATCGAGCTAGTTCCCTACATTAATTAGATATATCACTCCTACCAAATCAGTGAAGAAACCAGCTAAATGTTTGATAGGGATCAGTAACTAGAAGAGATTTTTAGTGGCTTTTAAAACTTACAGATGGTATATCAACAATTTTACTTGCTGAAACAGAAAGACCTGTTATTCTCCATGTCTCTTGTTTATTCCCGAAAGGTCCCATGTATTCACGCAATGCAGCTTGGAACAAGTTAAAGGCGTCTTCTTGGACCTTGGTTACCCCATATCTCAGAGGACATGATTTCGAAGGAAACTTCTTATGCGAATCTGAATCCCTTGACTGCAACACAAATATGTTTTGCATAGAAAATGTTATAGAGTGAAGTAAAAAAAAACTGATACAGACTACAAATACAGGAGAAAAATAGGTACTCTAAAGGCGCTAGCATGAAGGGTAAGGGTGCTTGCAATCCGCTTATTCTGCTCCAAGTCAGAACTGAGACGCTCGCTTAGTTCTTCGGAAAGCTGGTTCAGCCAATGCTGAACCTAAAAGTATAACATAAAAAGACACAAAACTAATTAAAAATAGTTATATGAGATAACTGAAGAGAAAAACTAGACCTGTTAAGTAAACCAAGCCTTACATTTGAGAGTGATTTCAAAGCACGAGGTCCGGGAAATGTCTTTCCAGAACCATGACTTTTGGGGAGAAGGCGACCTTGCACTTCTTCTCCACTGATCCCTCTTGCGATATTCCATAACCAAGTACTACAAGTCAGGAATAAAAACAGAAAATGAAATGTATTAATAAACCCTGTAACTGGAAAAAGAAAAAGACAAAGAAGTACCAAGTACTAAACGAAAATTAGTCAAAAACATCGAACAATATGCAATAGCCTAAGAGTCAAGGTGAACAAGTTTTTATCTTTCCCAAAGTTATTACCCAGTATTTATTCCGTAATGTTCTTGCAGCTTTGTTTCAGAAAACTGCAACAAGTCCCCCACAGTGTCAATTCCCAAGTCAGTTTGCAAGCTAGTGCCCAGCTTTCCTCCCAGTTGTTTCCTGCAAGATACGTAACAAGAGCTACATGATCTCCAACAATAACTGACAATGATGAAAGATGCAATGCAGAGTTTAGAACACAGCAACATTGATACTGAAACAAACATCAAATCTTTGCCAGTTTATAGGTATAATAACATATGCATAACACAAATCCTTTAACTTACGTACATTTTCTTAACTGGCAAGGAACTGAGTAATTCCTGTACAGCTGAATATGGTACAACGGTTTGCTGGGCAGGTTTGTTCATCCCACTAGCAAGTTTGGCTAGCATCTGCTAGTTCAGTTATGTGTTGTTACTCGCTATACAAGAGATAAAGAAAAAAGACTAGAAAAGTAAACAGCTTCTTGCCTTGTTATGGGCTATGCCAGCAGAACAGCTAAACTCAGTCTCCTTGAGCACCTGTTTCCGGAGTGCTGCAACAATGATAATTCCACAAGCTAACAACTTATCACGACGATCAGCATCTTTACGACATATCCAATCACGGACACTCTCCTTGAAATCATCTCCATCCTGAATCAAAGCCCAAAACCAGTATCAAAAATAAACAAAAGAAGTCCCAAATCAAAATAAGAAACCAAGAATCTCAATCATACCTCTCGGCGCATTCCAAGAATATGGGATTTAAGAGCTTCTTCGTCTATCGATTCCAAACTCTCTGGAGGCGCATCAGCGAGCATGCTCTCTGCTGCATCGGTGAGGTCAAGATACACTTCATCAATCGAAGCCCTCTCACATTTACCGCTTAAAGCTAGAATCGAAACCACCTGCAGACACACATAGAACGAGATAACTCTAGCAAATGTTATAGTCAGACAAAACACAAACATTTAAACATGTTATAACTTCAACTTCCACTGCCACAGACCTCTGAACCCGCACTGCGATATGTATTAAGGTCAGCTTTACCACGAGCCACGGGAACTTGAACCAATTGAATTTCAGGGCAAGCAGCTTTAGCCTCATCACCTCTCATCGACCTGAAAAATTCCATTCAAATGAAATGTTCTTGACACACGAAAATAACGAACTTTGATTCAACTTTGGGGGAAAGAAGCAATCTTTGATTAGACAAACCGCTTTACGCCACATTTACGTGCTTCATAGCTAACAGCAATCAAACCACCACCTTGCCATTCATTGTACTGTACAACTGCAGTAGGAAGTCCACGCAACTCCGGTTGCTTCCGTTGCTCCACTAATCAATTGAAAACCCAATAATCAGGTAAGAAAAAGGACACAACTTTGAACAGAAAAGGACAAAACTTTAATCTATGTTCGAAACCTCCCTAAAAAAACCCTAAATAGTGAAAACCCTTTTTGCAAAGATTAAAAACCCAGAATCTCAAATTCGATTCGGAAGAGGTGTAATACTCTGGTTTCTCTCACTGAAACGTGTAGCGACTGTATGTATTTCGGGTTAGAGAGAGAGACCTTGAACGTAGAAGCAATCCATGTCGACATGAGCGATAACTCTAGCATCCGATGTCTCCGGTCTCGCTACCGGCATTTTCTTCACGAAAATTAAAACTTTCCGTTTCCAAAATCTTCGCAGAGATCAGAGTGATAGAAAAGGAACAAGAAAGGGGCAAACATTTGTTTCCACCGAAAGAGGTTTTTTTTCTTCCTGGGCACAGCGCGCGAAAATAATAATTAGGAAAGAAAACCCCTCAAACTAATAGTTTTTCCTAGATTAACACCTGAACTATGGAAACATACTAATCTCGGTCATTAATATGACACGATTTGAAAAGTGAAAATGAAATGTAATTTTTAGATTTTTTTGCATTATATAATGCATATATATTTTTATATAATAATTTATATTTTAAAGTTCAATATAATTTTGTAATTTTAATTTAAAATCAATATTACAATTTTTGGATTAAATTGTTAGGGCTGAGAAGTTCGAGAATTGGAAAGTTATGGGGCTTATGAAGTAATTTTATAAGTTTGTGTACTAACCCGAAAATAAGTGTTTTGTATTAAACCCAAGTGGGGTGTGTGATTTATTTCCGTAAAATTCCGTTGAAAGCTTTCTCCGTCTTCGCTCTGGGGCTCTGCAATGAAGCGTAGCTTCGGTTCCAATTCTTCAGGCAATAATGGGAGCAACAAGAAGACTAAGAAGAAGAATAATAATCCGAGCAATCAGAAAACCCTAGGCGCCGCATGGGGCGCTGCTTCTTTACCTTCCTCTCGTTCTTCTTTTCGGTCTTCTCCATTTTCCGATTTTGGAAGGTCTTCTTCTCTCATTCTCTGGGCATTTTAGTGTTGGGTAGTGTTAGATTTACAAATTATGATGTTAAAGTTGGAAAATTTACTCTGAAAGTGTTGATATTGACAACGATTGAGAAATGGATTTGCACTTATGAAGTTAGAAGTAAAAATGTTTTTTGATGGGTTTTAAAAAAATATTTCTGTTTGTTGTTTATGATAGATTGAAATTTTTGTACGCATACCAGGGTGAATATGATTTGATTTCTTGTCTTTGTGTGTAATCTAATAGGTTTTGTTATAAACTATTCATAAGAAGACAATAAGCATTGCTATAAACTTGATGTTCTATTGTTTTTGTTGTAGTTACATGGAAGTGAAAAATCGGAAACTTCAAAACCAATATGAGACTGAGGCTTCCACTTCTTCTTACGGTGTTTCGGGTTCTGAGAAACTTATTTTCCAAGGGATTTCAATCTTTGTGGATGGTTTCACCGTACCTTCTCATCAGGTTTAGCTCCATTACATAGGCTTTTACCAATCTTAATTTGGTCCTGATTTGATGATGCATTCGCCTCTATGATCTCTAGTTGTTTATAAATTGTTACATTTATCACTGGTGGGTCATCTGTGGTTTGATAGTGTCTGGACTTGTAATAGGAATTGCGAGGTTACATGATGAGGTACGGTGGGAGATTCGAGAACTACTTTTCTAGGCGTACTGTAACGCATATCATATGCAGCAACCTTCCAGATAGCAAAGTCAAGAATCTAAGGTTAGTTGTTTCTTAGTTTCTTGAAACTCTTGGCTAATTTCTTGCAAGTTCGTGTCTTGAAATGGTTTCGTATCTTCCAACCAGGGCATTCAGCAGAGGGTTACCTGTTGTGAAACCCACTTGGATAGTGGACTCTATCTCTGCCAACAGACTTTTGGGGTGTAAGTCAACACATTGCGACTCGGTTTCGCTTGAACATAAGTAGAAAAATATTTGTTTGCTGTCATCATCGTATACATTTATTCATTGTTTCAATACTTTTTGTTGTGATTATAACATTCCAGGGGTTCCTTACCAGCTAGATCAACTGAATGATACCCAGCCAAAGTTGTCTGCCTTTTTTGCACCCAGAAGCCATTTGACTCCACAGCTGGTTTCACCGGTTACTTCTTATCCGCCTGAAACTGGATACAGTGAAGTTGAAGAAGGAAGTGCAATTAGAGTAGAAGATTCAGAGGAATCAAGAGACCACGTTGATAATGAATTTGATGGCGTTGGTATTGAGAACAGTACTGCAGAAACGACAGAACAAACAAGAAATGACGATCTGAAATCTTCTGAAGTGAATGCGGAAATACTTGCCAACCCTGGCAAAGAAGAAAAAGAAGTTAGTAGTGAACTTCAGTCCTCTACCAATCTGCCTTCTGCTTCAGACAACAAATCCGTCCATGACAACGGGAAGAATGATGGCAAATCGATTGCAACTGCTGCTGGATCCTCTATAAGGCGTCATTCAACTCTCGAGGATCCCAATTTTGTGGAAAACTACTTTAAGGTAAATCTTTATAGAAACACTGTTCGTCTTATTTTATCCTCAACCCTTTCTGGTAGTTCTTACAAATTATAGTCCTTTTTGTTGCTCTTTGAGATATACTCCTTTCAGGTAGAAATAAGAGTCTCAGTGTCAATTAATATAACTATAAATAAATGGATGCAAAGTGTCATACAAAAGCAGACTCTGAAGATGCTTTTCATATATTTAATTCTGTTTCTGCAGAATTCAAGGCTGCATTTTATCGGAACGTGGAGAAACAGATACCGTAAAAGATTTCATGGTTCTTCTAGTGGACTTAAATGGGCAGACTCTGGCCAGAATACAGCTGAAAGTGCTAAGAAGTCAACCATTATCCACATTGATTTGGTAATTTGCTCACGCTAGGCTGTTTTCTTTATCGTATGCTTTATAAAAGTAGGGGAAATAATAGAAATCCCTGACCAACTCTTCATTTCTGCATTTCCCTTCATACAATAGAAGAGAGTGAAAAATATGCTTGAGGCTTGTGATTCTGGGGATTGCGTTTTTTTGTTCTTGTCTTTGTTGTAAGTAAATCTGTGATTTATTCCAGGATTCCTTCTTTGTGTCGGTGGTAATCAGGAACCGTCTTGAATTACACGACAAGCCGGTAGCCGTATGCCACTCAGATAATCCAAAAGGAACGGCAGAAATTTCCTCTGCAAATTATCCAGCTCGGGCTTATGGTCTGTCTTATACTGAAGTAATCTCTCCTAAGCTTAGTTGTACTATGGGTCATGACTTTTCTGTTTTTGTACTAATTAAATGCCGTTTTCTTAATCTAGGAGTGAAGGCAGGCATGTTTGTAAGACATGCAAAAGACCTTTGTCCTCAGCTTGTTATTGTGCCTTACAACTTTGAAGCGTATGAAGAGGTATTTTAGAGTTGTCTGTATCTTGTATGCTGTCGCATTGGTCCTGTATGTTTGACATTGTAACTCAATTGCAGGTAGCTGATCAGTTTTATGACATCTTGCACATGCATTGCAGAAAAGTTCAGGTCAGCCTTCAAAAAGATCTTTTTACTAGTTTCTGGCATTTATTAATTCTTAAAATTAACGTTTTCGTTTTCTTTTGAGTTAGGCGGTAAGCTGCGATGAAGCATTTTTAGATGTCTCAGATTTGAGGGATGTAGAACCTGAGTTATTAGCATCAACAATAAGAAAAGAGATCCTTGATACTACTGGATGCAGTGCAAGTGCTGGGATAGGCGGTACTATGCTAATGGCTCGTCTTGCTACCAGAGTTGCTAAACCAGCCGGCCAATTCCATATTTCTGCTGATAAGGTGCTTTCTGTAAATGGGTTTCTATTGTTTTCGTATTTGTGTTTGTTCCTAACTCGTAACCAGTGGAAATAAGTTTATTAACTGTGGTTAGTTTCTTGAACGTAGAAGGCATTTTGTATAAAATTCCGGTTCATCATAGTGTCTACCGTTTTTGCAGGTAGAGGAGTTCTTGGATCAGCTTCCAGTCGGCACACTACCTGGTGTAGGTTCTGTGTTGAAAGAGAAGCTGGAGAAGGAAAATTTTCGGACCTGTGGGCAGTTACGTTTGATTTCCAAGGTAAAACATTTCTTGTGATTATGGACATGTCGGGTGCTTTTCAATTGCTGAAAGATTCGTTTTATTGACAAAGTAATCTCTTTGTTCTTAAAACATGCATGTGGTTCTTGTTTAATATGTGAACTTTTGAAGTTAAGTAAAAAACCGTGTAAACATTTCTAAACTACAATTTTGCAAAAGTGGAAATTGTGACAGTAAACGTAAACAAGAAAAAAATCCTATCGGCTTTTGCAGGATTCTCTTCAGAAAGATTTTGGGGTGAAAACTGGCGAGATGCTTTGGAGTTATAGCAGAGGACTAGACCTTCGGTCAGTTACGGCGGTGCAGGTCTGCTTAACAGTAGATTACTCATTTGTTTTACATTTCATATCTATAGGTGATATTTTTCTTTTGACATGTCTCTTCTGTGAGCAAATAAGATGCATCAACCAGTAACTTGGATATTTTATATGTACAGGAGAGCAAGACTATAGGGGCTGAAGTGAATTGGGGCGTGCGGTTTAGAGATCAGCAAGATGTCTGTCTTCTCGTGAATCATGTCTTTTATTAACTTTTTGTCCAAATATAATTCATTAGATGTTTAACTAAGAATGTGTATGGTTGTTGATGGTTGAAGGTTCAACACTTCCTCCGATGCCTGTGCAAGGAAGTTTCTTTGCGTCTGCAAGGATGTGAAATGATAGGACGCACCTTTACTCTTAAGGTTTTTTGCCTTCTTCTACTTTCATTGTTGTAAAATATTTGGGTTCTGCTTTGTTTTCACAGTATTCATCGCATTGGGTATTCAATGCCTTCCTGACAGCTTTCATCATTAGAAATAAAATATTGAATTTTTGTGGTGGGGTGCTACTTCAGATTAAAAAGAGGAAAAAAGATGCTGAAGAACCTACAAAGTATATGGGTTGTGGAGACTGTGACAACTTGAGCCGCTCCATCACTGTGAGTTGGTAACCTCGAAGTTTATGGGAACTAGGATGATGGTTTTTGTCGTTTACTGATATCTAGTTGAATATTTTTCATATATGCTTGTGTAATTCTTGAAGCCTGGCTGATTAACACTGTTGCTATAGGTGCCTGCCGCTACAGATGACGTAGAAGTTCTGCAGAGGATTTCAAAGAAGTTGTTTGGGTCATATTGCTTGGGTAAGTGTGCCTCAGTTACCTTTTTAAGATGATTTGCTGTTGTTTAACTGTCAATTGAGCCTCTATTCGGGTCCTTGAAGTAGCTTAGTTCGAAAGATCATACGAACCTGTGTCAAGTTCTCGCAGATTTTCTCCTGGGCGAAATGCCTTCCTAGTGCCAAACTATCATTTCCTATAGTAGATACGTTTATTTTTCATTGATCTTCTGGGAGAAGCTTAAAAATTGCATTTAATATTTTAATTGCACGAAAATTATAAAATTGGCCCTTGAGAATGAACATCCTGCAGGAATTTATTCTTTGCTATTGACTTGTGATAACATCAAACTGTTGAATTGCTTGCATCTTATGACTATATCTTGATCTTGTTTAGTGCTACTCCTTTTTCGTTTTAGTGATCATGAATTGGAATTCGCCATGATTAAGCCTCAACTTTTGTTTCTCTTGAGATAGATGTTAAGGAAGTTCGTGGGGTTGGTCTTCAGGTCTCTAAGCTTGAGAGTGCAGATCCTTCTAATAAAGGTAATTTGTCAAAACTCCGGCATATTAAATTGCAGTCACTCTGCTATACGAATTTCTTCTGCTTTTCTGGAAAACAATCAGAAAAGAAAGTTGATATCCCAACTGTCGTTGTCTCTCCTTATTGATACTTGTTCCCTTAACTTTCAAGGTTCAAGGACTCTGACATCCTGGCTCAGCTCTGCGCCTGCCTCTGTTCAAACAGAAAAAGATGATAACGTTATTGCTGCAGATTGTAGGGAAAACGCAGGTAATGAATGCTCTGTTACTCCACTCTATGTTAAAGCTTTACAAGTGGTACCCTGAAAGAAACGCTTGTGTTCATATTAGTCTCTAAAAACATTCAGGACGTTCAGTTGGAGAATGTACTAATATGTCTGTGACAAGATAAGATCGTGACCCAAAATTGGTTTTCTTTTCCCTTTATTTTTTTCTGTTTTGGGTGTGGAAATGCAGACGTCTTAGTTAAGTTTAGCTATGAAAAACTGCTTCCTTAATTGTTGTCTTGTGGCAGATTGTAAGAGGCATGATACTGGTGGAGTTTCTAGACTCCGAGAATCTAATTCAGCAGAACCCTCAGTTCAGTCAGGTGATACGAGTTCATCTTTGCCGCCCATGTGTCACCTTGACATGGAAGTTCTAGAGAACCTTCCTCCAGAGCTCCTTTCAGAATTAGATGGAACCTACGGCGGGAAGTTGTTTGAGTTGATTGAGAAAAAACGAGGCAAAAGAAAAATCAACAGCAATTCTCCACATATCTCCTTGGATGGTGAGTTTTGTTAGCTGCATTAGAATCCTGATGGAACAACTTTTTTCCCTAGAGCAGTGCATCTGAAATGATTACTCTTTTTCTTCCCATATGTACTGCAGGCATTAAGGGTTCAAAATCTTTCTCAGTTAAGATACACGGCTTAAGAACATCTGGAGAAAAGGTAAAGCTTTTTGCTATCTCTTCTCAAAAGTGAGTGAAGTTCCTCAATTATGTTTAAGCATCCTCCACGATCTAACACTTTACTGAAAAAATGGGGCAAGTGATCTATGCAAAGAATATTGACATTTGTTCTTATATTCCCGAAATCAGGAATGTGGAGAACCGAGTGTGCCGCATCCTTCTATTGCAACAACATCTAATGAGCGTACCATTGAAATGACTGATTTGATGCCTTCATCACTTAGTCAAGTCGATTTCTCTGTGTTGCAAGAATTACCTGAAGAGTTGAGAGCTGATTTGCTGGGAGCATTTCCTACCCACAGGAGACAACACTCATCATCAGATGCTCCCATGGAGACTTGTAAGAAACAAGATACGGAGCCAAGAGATGTAAAGGACGCTGAGAATGAGATCGGATTCTCGTGTAGCTCTCTCTGGTTTGGGAACCCTCCTCCGTGGGTAGAGAATTTCAAAGCTAGCGGCAATAGTATCTTGGAAAAAATTGCAGATATATACTACAGGGTGGCTCAGTCAAGGCCGATGTTATCCACGGTCCTGCAACATACTGTTTCAGAAGTTGGGAGTTTTCATGATGCAAATGCCAATGATTTGGACAAATCTGTTTATGATGTGTGTGAACTTTTAAAACAGTACATTAAGCTCAAGGTAGAAGGTGATATCGAGGAGATTTATCTCTGCTTCCGCCTTCTGAAAAGGTATGAATTCTATTGAATATTGCAGAGATTTTTCTTGTACTTGTAATAAATCATCGATATGCCATTGCATTTCATTCAATTCAGAGATGTTGTTCATGTTTAGATTATTACCATTTTTTTGGTGATGATTATACTTTATCTTCAGATTAGCAGCAACGAGCCAGCTCTTCGTCCAGGTCTATGAGATTTTGTCTTCCTTTATTCAGGTCAGTGCAAGCTTTCCATTAAAATTACAAATCACTATATAAAAAAAACTACAGAAGTCTACATCATGAATTGAATTTAGAATATCGGGAATTGGCAAAGTAAGCATGAATTCTTCATATATAGGCCTTGATCAGTGAACACTATGGAGGAAGCTTGAGTGTATCTTGAAAGCAACAATTTGCGTGGAATTGCTCCTTAGCTGGATGCAACAGAATAGAAGAATGCATACTTGCAGGTTCATTCGCTAATATAGTCCCTGTTTATCCGTAAACTTCATTTGTTGACATCCTTACCAACCAAGAAATGTGCATCCTCAAGGTAAATGCACATGAAGCAGCTTAAGCAATCATACTTGGGAGGATCCATTGTGGCATTTCAATGTTAGAAGAATGGTGCGGTTTCCCATGTGAAATGGAGTCTCAGAAGAACGCATTTGCAGAATAAGATATGGATGTGATTCAGACCTCAAAGAACAGAGCTAATTAGTAGTTACTATTTTCTGGTCTAGGTGTGTGTATACTCAAGAAACTAACACATACATAAATTACAAGTATAGTGTTGTCGTCAGTGTTGAGTTTAAGGGTTTTGAAAGAATTTGTTGTATTGCAAAAACAGTAAACTTGATATTCAGATTCATCGTTGTGCATATCGTTGTCTTGACCATCATGTTGCCTAGGTCTTGATGACAGGTCTGAACATTCTTGAGAAAATCCCCTGAAATTATATCATCACACTCGTAGTCTCTTTGATGCTTGTCATACAAGGCAGTAAAATTTCTAAGATCCTGCGTCCTTTCAACGAACATTCGTCATGCTGAATGTTCTCTAGATAGTTTCTTATACATTCGCAAAGCTCTTAGCCTTTTTTGCTTGTCGTGAAGTATTCGTTGAGAAGAATAAGCAACTCAGGATCTTTAAGAAAATCGGTTTGAAGAGCTTCGATACATCCTCGTCCATGTTGTCCATATAGTCGCTGAGCTTGCTCACATTTTCTTCCTGAGCTTGCTCACATTTTCTTCCGACTTAGGATTTCAGAATACTACGACTAGAAAAAAACGGCATTACTACAGATTGATTAGAATTTGATTTTGTGACCAAAGTGATGTAGGTTAGTGGGATATATAGATTGAATTGTTTCCCTTTTCCTTTTTTCTATATTTCCTTTTTTATAACTATTTCCTTTTTCTTTTTTTTTTTGTTTCTTTTTCCTTAGATGTTTCCATTAAACTATGTAAAAAATCTGGTTTGACTTTCACCGGCTCTAACGGTCATGGCGAGGGGTCTAACACCATTTTTTTTAATGCTTCAAAATTTGATATAAAAGCCCATTATCTATTATCATTTAAAAAAAAACAAGAAATCTTTGATCTATCTATTTATATAACTATTTGTGTACTGATTTGCTTACGTGTCACGCTCACAACGAGTTTCACAGTCTTACGTTTACGTATCAGCTCTAAAATGAGTTTCGGCTGTAAAAAAACCGTTTAATCCTATTTTGCAATGACATGTCATTTTTTAATCTCTATAATTATTTGTGTAGTGATTTGCTTACGTGTCATACTCACAGCAAGTTTTACAATCTTTCGCTTACGTGTCAGCTCCAGAATGAGTTTCGGCTGTAGAAAGACCGTTTAACCCTATTTTGCAATGACATGTCATTTTTAAATTGGTTCGATGTTGTGTAAAAAAACTTAAACAAACCGGTCTAAATTATTTATGGTTTAATGCTTAATTTCATAGTCAATCAAATCGTTTTTAAAATTATATATAACCAAAATTTAGAAAAAAATTAACAAAAACGTTTTTTTTTAAAAAGAATCTATATCTCTTAGTGTTTACCAATTCTTATGTTTCAAAATTTAGAAAAAATCTAACAAAAATGTTAAAAAAAAAAAAAATGAAAACTATTTAAAAAGTAATGGAATTTTGTTTCAAAACGAAAAAGAACTAAAATTAAAAAAAAAACTCTAACAAAAAGTTTAGAAAATATATATTTATCTAACTAATGGAATGACGGTATTTGTGATGTTTAAAGCACATAAAATAGTGATCAAAATCGAATAAGTTCGTACGATACTTCAAAAATCTACGTCTAAAATACATAGAACAATGATCAAAAGATCTCAAACTATTTAAACTAAATTATTTGGATACTAATATGTTTTTGTTTACTCTCTTCTATTTTATACTTTTTTCACGATCATGTCTTCCAACATTAAAATGCAAGGAAATCTAACAAACAAATATACTCAAAAATAAACAACAAATGAATCCAAACTACTATCAGATTTTCAAGACAATAAAATTTAATAAAAATCTAACAAAAACATTTTTTTAAAAAAGTTATAGGGTTTTCAATTTCTTATAATTTAGTATAAATATAAACCACTTTTCTGTAATTCTCTCACAACTTTCAATATTGTATAATCTCTTCCTTCTTCTTTATTCTAACTAAAAATTCATGGAGTCATCAGGTAAACCTATACTAATTTTTTTTTAAATAAGTATTCAATAAAAAAATAACTTAAATCATATCGGTCTAAATTATTATGGTTTAATGCTTAACTTTATTGTCAATACCATTTTTTAAATTTAATAGATCGATATTTAGTCAAACCTAACAAAAAAGTAAAATTAATCAATGGAAAGTTTGACGAAATTATGATATTTGTTATGTCTAAAATATATAAAACAATGATCAATATTGAATAAGTTCGTACAGTATATCAAAAGATTTCAAAACTATTTAAACTAAATTATTTGGATATTAATATGTTTTTATTTACTCTCTTTAATATTGTTGTCATGATCATGTTTGCAAACATTAAAATGCAAGAAAATCTAACCAAAAAAATATACTCAATAATAGAGAATAAAAAACAAATGAATCTAAACTACTATTAGATTTTCAAACAATCAAATGGAAAATTATATCAGCCTGCGCTTATTATCTAAACTTATTTTACATTCTAAATGCATTTACGGTTGATTTTTATTTTTATTAATCAGTACTACAATAAAATTAGAATTTTGTATGTTAACATATCAGATATTTTAAGAAGAATAATCATCATCAAACCTATAATTTTTGATTGCTATGTGCACCAAATATAATCCACTAAAAATTAACACATGCATGGTAACCTATACCAATAAACATAAAATACATAGATAATTTAAATATTATCAAAAACATTTGTTTTTTTTATTTATATACTAATTGAGGTTCAAATTGCAACTAGTAAACCTTGGGGCGTGCGGCCAGATTCACCGCCAGTGGCATTGGGAGCGCCGCCAAGAGGATCAACAATGTCATCAATGTTGGACAGGTCGGGAATGTTTTTTTCGTCATATGCGTTAACGTTTCGGTCGTTGAGGGAGGCAATGGCGTCGTCTGAAGAAGGATAGGTAAAGCAGCAAAACCAAGAGCTCAACATCTTGCAGAGGAAAGACCACCATGGAAGAGAAGCTTAGGAGTTAGAAGCTTGGGAGCGAGAAGCCTAGGAGTTAGAAGCTTGGGAGCGAGAAGCTGGGAGTTAGAAGCTTGGGAGCGAGAAGCTTGGGAGTTAGAAGCTTTGCCGCTGCCTCCTTGGAAACCAATAGCATCGCTGGGAACCCCACCGGTTTCAATGTAGTCCTACGGGTGGAAACTCACTTGCCTCGCGGTGATGGTGGAAGGAGGAGGCGGCGGATCTCTGCGAACCCTACAGATTAGGTAGTCGGACTCGATCTCGTGGTCGGACATTTCTGTTTCTATTTCTTCTTTCTCTCTCTCTCTTTCGATCTTCTGGTGAGCACTGAGCACTGCTCTTTCTTATACTAATTGAGGTTCAAATTGCAACTAAAAAAATTATCCAATCAGAGAAAACAGCTACAATTGTTTTTTATTTATATACTAATTGAGGTTCAAATTGCAACTAAAAAAATTACCCAATTATAAAAAACAGCTACAATTATTATTAGCTTTAAAGAATAATTAAAACATTGTATTACTATTACCAGCCCAAATAATTGATTCACAAGCTTAAAATTGATCTTAAAATAAAAATATGTCCAATTTATGCACGCATGATACTAAAAATACATTCAATTCAATGCATAACCGTTTAATACATTCAATTTTATAATATTGGAACAGTGACAGAAAAGGAGTATGTCTCTCAGGTCTATCGATGTTTGATTTCTCTCAAGATACCTAGAATACTTCTAGTTAGATCGGCTATTGTAGTCGTTCCTCAATATCGTCATCCTACTGACTTGGATTTTAACATCATTATCAGAAAAGAAGAAATTTTATGAAGAAGATTGATTAAAAATAAAATTTTCTGAGACCATTGCATGTAGTTGGTCTCATAAATAAAGATAAAATTTTCTAATGTTTATTTTTCTCAAGTTTTCCTTTTTCTATAAGTATTTTCTTTTTTCATGATTGTTTTCTTTCTAATTCTCTTCATTCTTTATTTGCAACCAAAAAAGTGAGATTTAATTTTTTGGTCTATGTTTATATTATTTCGGGATTAATACCTTCTCTAAATCAATCATTATGGTAGACTATGCTTCCACGATCATAATCATATAATACATATCATATTTATTTAAAGAGAATAGACATCAATATGTCGATGCTTATGTAGAATAATGATTATTGATTGTTTGATTTTTGTATCTTATTGTTTAAATAGTATAATTGTTAAAATTCATTAGAACCTGAGATTTTGTTGAATAAAGCAAAAACCATTTTTAATCAATTATGATTTCAGTGATATCTATTTGTTTAACCTAATTATTCTTTGACAAAACTATGTTTGATAAAGTGGATCTTAAATTACATTAATTTCTTAGTAACATGTTTTTGTGCCTTCGATTTATTTATTAGCTTAGCTTGATTAGCAATCGCTTGAATTGATCATAATGAACATGACTCGATCACACTTATCAAATTATATAGTCGATTGTTTATTGTTTTGCTCATTGGCCATGGTTTCTGATCACTTTGTTAATACCAATAATGATTTCTCGCATAGAAGCTAGTGATAGTCATTAGTTAATTGTTTATAAAAGAAAACTAGCTAATGTGCCTGCACCGTATGCGGACTACAAATGTTTAGTAAATCAAAGGTTAGAATTCAAAAAATAATTTAATAAGTATATATTTTTATTTTTATTATTGTTATTTATTTAAGCTAAATTAGAAATCTGAATGATTTTTTTTTAAAAAAGAAAAATTAAAATCGATAATTACTCACAAATGATATATGTAATCTATCGATAAAGTCTAATTCAAGTGTGCCATTTAATAATGCAAATTTTCACCATATCCATTACATGTAATCTCATTGAAACTTTCAAATACAAACGAATTGATATGATCTTTTAAAAAATTCCTCATCATAACCTACAAACTCCACACACATATCTTGCAGATCGATTGTGATTTTTTATAGATTTAGAGGTTATATTGGTAATTATTTTAAAAAAACATGTAGAGGAAAAAAGAGCTAGAAACCGTGATGTTATTTTACAGTTGGTGTTTCAACATTTTTATTAGCTCCGTTGAGTTGGAAATTAATAGGATCAAAGATTCATAGCATTGGAAATTTCCTCAAAACAAATATCAGCCGCATAAGCCAATTA